ATATAATATATATATATATATATAATATATATAATTATATATATATATATAATATATATATATAATATATATATATATATATATATATAATATATATATGTATATATAAGTATATATATATAATATATATATATAATATATATATAATATATATATATATATATTATATATATATAATATATGTATATATGTATATATGTATATATTCATATACACATTAATCTCCCGGAAGCACAGATACAAGAGAATTCTGCAGGAAACAAACAGGACAAATGACTAGCATCCTTATCTCCGACAATGGCGGGGTGGAAAATTGCCAGGAGATAGCAGCTCATTTGATTAGATAGGGAGGCACACTAGTTGATAAACTGGAGGAGTATTCACAAGCAATGCAGCAGTAAAGGGAATCAGGCTAGGCATAATGAGGGTGCATTGTAGCTTTTTTTCTTTCTTTCTTTCTCTTGCCGTCAAAGCGAAATAAAGTGTAGAACAAGAGCAGCGTTCGTGATCAGCTGGTGATGCACATAAGCTAAGTGTCTTTGCCACAATGGGGAGTACTTTCTGGAATGAGCTTAAGGTGAGATCTATGCGTTTCTGCGGTGGGAACAGGAGAACCCTCTACTCATTGATTTCCAGTTCATGTCTATAGTATTATGAAATAAGAATCGAAGTTTATCAGTGCTTCTTATACAAATATATACATCCACAGGTACACACATACAAATATATAAATTTATAAATGGACATACGTGAATGTACACAGGTATACACGTGCATACACAGATATGCATATGTATACACAGAGATGCACATGCATCTATAGTTATACACATGCATCTGCATCCACACGTTTACACAGATAGACGCATGTATATACAGATGTATATGCATCTCTCTCTCTCTCTCAAAAGAAAGAAAAAAAAAGGTGCTGTTGTGATTGTTATAAATAAGTATTGCGATTTATTTATTTAATGTTTATGGATTTTAACAGGCTGCAAAGATGAGTGGACGGGATGGAAGCCCCAAGATATCTCTGGCTCTGCTGAAGGGCCGCTCAGCAGCTAAGAGTGTACCAAGCATCACTTTCAGGTTCAATCCCTCAGGGGATAATATCACTCAAGTCTCAGATGCAGAGGAAGGTAAGCTTTTGATTTGTATCTCTCTCTCTCTCTCTCTCTCTCCTCTCTCTCTCCTCTCTCTCTCTCTCTCTCTCTCTCTCTCTCTCTCTCTCTCTCTCTCTCTCTCTCTCTCTCTCTTTTTTCTATTTCTTTTCCTATCCTCTCTCCCTCTTCCTCTTTCCTCTCTCCCTCTCTTCCTCTCTCCCTCTCTCCCTCTTCCTCTATCCCTTTTCTCTCTTCCTCTTTCTCACCTTCTCTCTTCCTTCCCCTCTCACTATGTGTCTTCCTTTAAACTTGATGTCTTTGTCCTTAACTTTCATTTTAATATCACCCATGATAGCTTGTAAGAATGTGGTCACCGAGATTGGGGATTTTTTTTTTTTTCTTTTTTTTCTGTTAGGCCTAATTGTACTATGAATTGATCTTGAGTTTGTTTTCAGATCTGTACAAAATTATTCTGAAGCTATGAGTAGAGTTCAGGTACATGGAAGGAGGAACATGTAGCAGCTATGCATTCTTGTGTTAGTGAAAGGTGTTAATTACCTTTTAACTCCTTTGCAGAGGAAGATGAAGTGTCAAGTGAGGTGTCGTCAGCACCTTCTTTAGATACCAGCTCAGTTGGTAGTGTGACGCGAGCAGAATCCCTACGTGACGCCTCCCCAGTGAAGGAGCCATTGGGAAGTTCCCTAGGAAAGCGTTCTTCTAGTTTAGACAGTAACAGCGGACCATTAGTAGAACCATCAACTTCAACTGCAAAACCTGTGGAGTCTGGTGGGCTTCTCTCAAGGCTAACAAAGACTTTTGAAGATAAGATCAATGAGATCCGTAGTGAGAAGAAAGAAAAAGAGAGCAAGGGGGAGAGAGACAAGGATAAAGAAAAATTATCCATTGGAGGGGATGGTTCTACAGAGAGTGAAGGTGGCTCTGTCTCAGGTGACAGATCCCCTACATCCAAGGAAAGAAAACCCATTGACATAGTGCAGAAAACAGTTGAAGAAGATAAAGCATCTAAAACAGACTTCTCAGGATCTCCTCCAAAGACTAAAACAAGTATTGTGCAAGATATAACAGAGCATACTAGTAAAATTAAGTCAGAGCTAGGTAATATACGACCAAAGTTGTCAGAGTTACGACAGAGAAGGAGTTCCAAAGAAAGTGGTAAGAACAGCAAAGAGAACAGTAAAGGCAGACCTTTTGTATTTACCTCACTTCTAGGGAGAGATGAAGGTCTTGGTGAAGAGATGCTGCTGGAGTGCGATGAGGCAGAGGTCGATAGAGCTGTGGAAGCTCATGAAGACCCCTGTGTCTTTGATGAGGATCTGGCTGGAATGGATGGTGAGGATGTATCTTCAGAAAAAGACATTGTAGATTCCAGTAAAAGCAAGACCACCACACCACAATCATCTCCCAAAAAGAGAAAAAGTCCCCCTTCTCCAAAGAAAGCAACAGAGCTACCGCTGAAGGAGCAGTGTCTGCAAATTGTGAATTCTTTCCCCGTATCAGTCTCTGTGTTATCAAAAATAGCTCTCGGACTCTTTATAGTGTGCTTTGTGTTACCTCTACCGAGATTCTTGGCAGGCCTGGTGTTGGGTGTTGTATTGGCGGGAGTAGCTTTTTACTGCCTCCTGCGTCTGGTGTTACCTGTCACTCCTGAGCCGCCTCTTGTTGACGATGGACCAGTATTGTTGACACTACCAACTTATGAAGACAAGCAACTGTATAAGGTCTCTGTTTGCTTTTGTTTATTCTTTTATATTTCTGAAGTGATGTTATTGTAATTACTTATTTTGATTTATTATTTTATTGATTTATGAACTTTCTTTTAATTTTACTGAGCACATAACACCATAGTCTATAGTGTATTTGTGATCAGATTCTGTTTTTCCTTAAACATCAGATTTGTATCAACACAAATCGACTTCCTGTGTATCCTTTTTCTGATTCTCCCTTTGCAAAGTTTTTCCTTTGTTTTAGCTTTACATTTGATTTTGCATCATTATGTCTGCTTAACCTCTTGCACTGGGGCCACTGAGTTGTGTGAGTGAGTGAGTGTGAGTGTGTGTGTGTGTGTGTGTGTGTGTGTGTGTGTGTGTGTGTGTGTGTGTGGTGTGTGTGTGTGTGTGTGTGTGTGTGTGTGTGTGTGTTGTGTGTGTGTGTGTGTGAGTGTGAGTGTGAGTGTGTGTGTGGTGAGTGTGTGTGTGTGTGTGTGTGGTGTGGTGTGTGTGACTGGTTGTGAGTGCGTGTGTGTGTGTGTGTGTGTCATTATATTACACATGCATACATGTCTACATACATAAATACATACAAGCATGCATGCATGCTTACATACATGCAGATATACACACATACATGCATACATATTTACATATTTACATAAATATATGTAATGTTTGTAGATACATATGTATTCATGTTAAGATAATCTAAATAATGATGAACACGGGACAGGTAAGAAATAGCTGAATGTCAAGAAAAGTTAATGAAAGTTAATTTATACCAGATTACCACCCAAGACTCCTGTGGTTGGCATATGTCAGCTTGAATGTAGTCAGAAAAACTGTCTCTTTTGCAGTTTCTTTCCTCTAACATTGTTCAACCTTATTTGGTCAAAATAAACTTATTACTTTAGTTTAAAATCATTTGCAAGTGAAATATATTAATGTTCAACATGATTATTGCAATATTCGTAAATATACAATAAAAGAAATTTTAAAAAATTATACAAGTAGCAACTTACTTTTAACTTCATTTGATGTGGTATATCTTCTCTCTACTCAATCATATGTGACCTGTAATGGATGTGCAGTTAGAGAATGTGCATATTTCTGCATTATATTTGTAAATGTCTATGAACTGTGTTATATGATTGTTTAATCTTGTATATTCCCTGTCAAATGTATGTTTTTGTTAGCATTTTTGCCATTTTATGTCCACTTGTCTTGCTTGTGTCCAGGTGTTATAGATCAGTGTTTCCTGTGATGCCCCCCCAACCACCCTTAAATCTGGGTTATACTTTTGTTTTATAGGAGTACTATTGGTACTTTTTCTCTTTCTTTTCATGTTTGTGGAACAGAAAAGATGGCACATTAGTAGTTGTTTTTTTCTGTTTGATTTTTGCTGTTTTGTTGCATTTGCTCTTCATCTCTCCTAAACTTGTTGTAACTTATCTTGTAATCTGTTTCTCTAGTGTTCATATCTACTACTTATGTAACTACCCTTTTCCTCTGTTGGCAAAGTAGCTCAGCTCACAAAAGCTCTGTATTTCCTCTCTGGCGACAGGGTTGGATGAATGAATTGGAAGGGGAGTACAGCCCGGATAGCTACCATGTGTCCCTCACCCACTCTGTGTTTGTGCGTCTACAGGGATCCAAGCTCCAGATAGATCATCCTAGAGGTTGGAAAGAGGGTTTTGGATGACATATTACATCACATGTAGTCTAATGACCTTCATTTATGTAGTTCCTGGATGAAATTGGATGATATACAATATTTTTAAAAATTATGTATCCTTTCACATATTCCTTGTTTATTTGATTATTATCATATATATATTTCTTTTTTCTTTTTATTTATATGTTTTTTTTTAGTGCATGAGTGCGGCTTGTAGTTAGGTTTTCATAAACTCATATAGAATTCAGTTATGATTTTTTGAAAGTATAGATAATGAAGTAAAAAGACTGAGTTGCTTCTTATCCAAAGAGATTCATGAAAGCATTCATATATTTTTATTTTTTTTACACATGAACATGAAAACCCTTTCAGGTAAGGTGCCCAAGCATGCTCGGCAGAAGGAGGAGATTCGTAACACAGTATTTACACACCACAGAGAGTATGACATTGCTGGGTGTGAAGTTTTTCTTTCACCAAGGAACTTACCTCGAAGATGGTAAGTTACACTGACTAGTATTCTCCTAGAGAAATTTGCCTGGCCCTTTGACAAAATCTGGGTTCTCAGATTTTATTTTATTCCTTTTGCTAAAACATTAGGTTAAGGATTATAGAACTGATGATTTGTGGTATGAATGGTACAGCTGTTTTCAGAGTCGATGTTTAGATGAATAAACATTAGGTAGGCCAAAACTTCATTTTACAAAGACCTTGTAAATATAGGAAAAAACAAACATATACCAATAGTTGTTTCCAACAGAGCAATGCAGCATACTTAGCAAAATATATTGTTCACTGTAGTAGTATTTTATGAAATGTTTCTGCACATAGATGCCTCCACAGTAGGGAGTCAATTCGTAGACCTTGTGACCTCACCTGATTTCACCTTTCCTTGAATTTTTAAGCTGCTGCTGTTATTATTGTTATAGACATTGTGATTTTCATCAAGGTTACTGACATTACTAACAACAGTATAAGATACTAGAAAATATCTTCAAAAATCAAGGAAAAAGGTATACAGATGAGATAGGTGGTACTAGTAATTGGCTCATTGGTGACTTGGTGCTTGTGAAGCCATTTATGTGTAAAGACAATTGATGAGCTAATCACAGTGAGCATGGCATGTACATACTTGCCATTCCCTTGCGGCATCAGGTTTAGTTAGTAAAGGTATCAAGAAGCTATGATCAGGAATAGCTTTTATGTATGTTCTTATTTGTTTATTTGTTAATTTTTGCTGTGTTGGCATTTCATAAGTATTTCTTTTCTTTCAGTCAGTTTTTCATGGTTGAATTGGATAAGCTGTAGATTATTATTGTAATCAGAATATTTCACAAAGGTCTTCACTCTTTACTACAATCTTTGTAGGTTGTGGAGTCGAAAATACCCTATATGCATTCGCCTTCATGGGGGATCAAAAGGCAGCACACCTTCCCCAGTTTCTATTACCTCAACACCAACAGGGTCGGCCCATGGAAGTCCAATACGCTTCTCCAGTGCCAGTAAGTGCCAGGAGTTTGTGAAAAGGTGAAAATGATAAGGAACACAAAACTGCAAAGGAGATAATGAAAAGAGTACAAATACATTTATTTATATGTTTGTGTATGCAGGTACAATTGCATATGTATTGTGTAATTTTTTATAAATTTGTAGAATTGATCTAAATATTTTGATTCTGTAACCGCTAACAATCCCCAATTGATACAATATTTATTTTACAGTTTTAGGACGCCAAGGCAGTTCCGAAAGTGGTGAAGGCAACTGGAGTCTTGATAATAACAAGTCATCAGGGGAAGATGACCTGATGACCTCCTCACTGGACATGGCATCATTTGAGGAAGTGACCCAGGACATGTGTCAGGAAAAGTCGCTCTACCTCTTTGCCCGCTGTGATCGGGAAAAGGATGACTGGTAACCTTTTGTGTGTGCGTGTGTGTGTGCATGTGTGTGTGTGTGCGTGCGTGCGTGCGTGCGTGCGCGCGCGTGTGTGTGCGTGTGTGCGTGCGTGCGTGCGTGCGTGTGTGTGTGTGTGTGTGTGTGTGTGTGTGTGTGTGTGTGTGTGTGTGTGTGTGTGTGTGTGTGTGAGAGAGAGACACATAATTTAAGATGTACGGCTATTAGAGAAAATGTAAATAAATTTTTTATTTCAGAAATGAAATGAATATGTAATGACATGTCCTTGGTTTCTGTGCTTTCTGGTAGGTTCCGTCGCCTTGTAGCTGCCTCTGAACTGTACGTGAAGGCCCAGTCATCTCCAAGTCATAAACCTCCTCCTCAGGATATTGGGGATACTATATCACTTGAAGGAATTCCAGAATCTCCTTTTGAGCCTGCCAAAGATCAGTTGCAGATGGTAAACAGGAATCTTGCATCATTTGTGTATATAGTAGTGTCTAGTGTATATGCTTGTAGAAGAGGAATGAGCACAGGGCTCTTGATCACCCAGCATGAGTGTGGATTGCATCACTGCAAGCTGGTCATGACTCAAAGCAGATTTTTAGCATTTATCTTCATGGTAAATGGTGATCTCTCTGTCACTGAAACTTTCATCTTTGTTTTGTTATTGGATAGAGTGTGATTGAATTCACTTACTAATTAAGTAAATTATTTGAAGACAGGGCATATAACCCTTTTATTATCATTCTTCCTCTTTATTTCTTTCCTCTCTCTTCCTACCATGATACAAGCACTACTTTTTCTTGGGTAGTACTACTTACACTACTGTCTTTCCTCACAGCATTTCAGAATCTCAGCTAATACAGTCACTTGTTTAGTATGAGTGTCGTAGAGACTCACATTAGCTATGTTCAGAGAATATCTGAAATAATGACAAGAAAAAGGAAGGGAGAGAGGGAATGAAGAGATCAACTAAAATACTAAGAATAATAGAGGAAGAGCAGTACCAAAGAAGACAGAGATGGATTCTTAAATTTCAGTTTGCAAGAAGTGTTTAATGATAAAGAGTATCTTTATGAATGAGTACTATGTATGAGCTGTGAAGTCTAAAATTTGTGTTGAACACTGAATTGATTTTTTGCGTCTTACATTGCATCATGTGTTATATAAGAAATGCTTTTTTTTAAATAAGGAAAGCATATCCATGACTTTTATTCAAAACTATAGATAACAGGAATGGCTTGATGATTTTGATTTTCCTTCCTTTTCTTCCCTTTTTTCCTCTTCTCCTCCTCATTATTCTTCCCCTCTTTTTTTTTTTTTTCCACTTCCCTTTCTTTATCATCCCAATATCATTCTTCCTCCTTCTCCTCTTGCTGCTCTTACATTATTCTTCCATCGTTGTTTTCCTTCCTTTCTCTTTCCTCTCTTTTTTTTTTTTTTTTTTTTTTTTTTTACTCTATCAAGGCCACTTACAGGGCTTGCTATGTTGTCAGTGCATGAGAAATGGCAGCCATCTAGTCTCACACCCAAACTTAATCTGGTTTCTCAGGATTCTGCTGCCTCAACCCCGCCTGACCTGAGCTTTGAACGTTACATGGCGCGCCTTTTGTACCAGCCTGGGGGTATGACATCTGATGGAACTCCAGGCCCTGCGAATGTGGCATGGATTAATGCTTTGGTCGGGCGACTGCTCTATGACTTTTTGCGAAATCCATACTGGGCCAATAAGGTAAAGGGGTGATGTTTTGTACAAGTTTGTTTGGATATGTTGTAGTCTCCGTAATTTCTTATTTATATATAAATTTTTTTTTTAATACACAACAATTTGGGATAAAAGTCTTTTTGATTTAGATAAAGGTGTTTTTTGACACTTTGGTCTCCTTAACTCAAAGATAATTAAAGGCTCTATATCTGATCTTTAAGATCTTAACCCCAGAAAATTTTCAACTTAAAAAGCTCTCCTTTTTGTAGGTACAAGAACGTGTGCAGCGTAAACTGAGCAAGCTCCACATTCCATATTTTGTGGGGGAGATTGTAGTTTGTGGAGTAAACATGGGATCAGCCACGCCTCAACTGAATGCTGTTGGAAGTCCCCAAGTGGATGCAAGAGGACTCTGGGTTGACCTGAATGTTGAATATTCTGGGAATTTTACCATGAGCTTAGAGACCAAACTGGACCTTATGAAACTTAAACGTAGTACTGGAATAGGAACCAACATGCCAAACACCTCATCTCCTCCGAGCCCAGCAGAGCCAGTGCCTCATGCAGGTCCAAGGGTGTACACACGTTCACAGTCTTCCGAACGCCTTCTTCGCAATGTCCACTTTGACACTGACACAGATGATAGTGTAGAATCTTCAAGTGAAGAAGAGTATGAGGAGGAAGGTTTAGCAGCTGAAGCAGGACTACCTGTAGGGGGTAGTGGGCCAACCTCTAGACGACTGTTAAAACTAGTCGACTCTGTAGCTGGCTCAAGATACTTCCAGCAGGCAGCAGAATGGCGATTGTTGCAAAGGGCTTTGCAAGGTGTAAGCAACACAAGAATAGAGTTGAGTGTTGAGGTTCGCCGTTTAGCTGGCACTCTGGCATTGAATATACCCCCTCCCCCAGCAGACCGGCTTTGGTATGGATTTCGGGGAGTTCCAGAGCTTGTGATGGTTGCTCGACCAAGACTAGGGGACAGAATGCTCAATCTACCATTCCTTGTAGAATTCATTCAAAAGCAACTGAGGATTGTGTTTGAAAAAGTGTTTGTACTTCCAAACATGGATGATTTAGTTATTCCAATCATGTCACCTCTACTACCTGGTCAACATCAACAACCCAGACCACCTTGGGAGTCATCTCACATACTTCTAAATACTACAGAAATCTCTGCACCGTCAATTCCCACCTCATCAGTTTCTACTTCAGGAATAGTCACACCCACAGTCAAGTTTACTCCGTCTCCACACTAAGAATTCATCGTAGTTGGTCAAATGTGAGCAACTTTGACAGCATGGATTCAATTCTGGTGTTATTACTAGGTATGGCATGTATTCCCAGGTACAGTATGCCCATAGAAAAATGAATCTTTTTGTACATGCTGTTTATGATCATGCAAGACCATTATAGTAGAATAGTCATCCAGTTCCAATATTCTGCATTTTTTAAGCACAAACTGGAATAAGAACATTTGCGGTGATATGAATGTATGTTTTCAGGACTATTCACCTCTGAAAAGGTTTGATTAATTTAGTTCATGAACTGATAGAATTAATCTACCAGCATAGACTGATATTAATGTGAATAGGGTTTTAGTATCAGTTATGTGTTATATATATTTTACCAAAGAACACAGTAGTCATATAAAAGGGTTAGGAAGGTAATGGCAATCTGTATAATTGATGCTTCTGAAAAGAACCGTTCACTGAAAGTCAACTTTAGAGAATGGGAGAATAATTTCTTGCTGTTTTACTTGCAATAGGTTATTTTTTCACAGGGTGCTGTGGCTTAGAGCAGGTCGTACACATTTGAAATAGAGAATGTTTCATTTTTAGCCCCCCACCCCAAGTTGTGAGAGTAAATAGCACATTTAAATGTAGCAAGAAAATTAGATTTGTTTTTTCAGCAACCATAGACTTTCATCCAAGTTCAGAAGGAGTTAGTCATCTAAGCTTCGTAACTTTGAGGTCTGTTGCTGTTGGAACCCAAAATATTACGGTGCAAAGCCCGAGGTTTTAGGGTAAACTTTCGTAGGTGGATCACAAAGGCAGAGAAATGTCCCCTGATATATTTTAAAGAGAGGGTAAGAAATTCCTGGTATGTGCTCACACAGGACTCTCTTTACTCAGTAGTTGCCATTGTCTGGAATACAAAAAAAAAAAAAAATGCTGATGTTAAATATAATATATATATCTGTGTGCTGTGTAACCCTTCAGGTTGAGTCATATTGCATTATAATCTGCTTTTGGTGTTGTGAAAGGAAGGCCATAAGGTAAAGAAAAATAGATCTTATTTTTGCAGTGGACAACTATGAAGCTTTAGTAAGATGAAGCTACCAGAACATGTATTTAATTTTTTCGTAAAATTGCAAAATATTTTTTCAGTCATAAGATGTTTATCGGTGTTAGCTAGTATATATATATATATATATATATGTTGTGTGCACTAGATAGATGGTATCATTCTTATATGTTAAATGATAGAAGTACTTCTATGATTTTTGTGGCTTTATTTATTTTTACTTGTTTTTGTTTTTTCTTAATCCATTATTCAGAAAAGAAATATTTAGTTTTGTACATTTTCAAAAATCCATTAAGATACATGCCTTCTAACCCCTATTTTATGCCTTTAGGCCAGAAATAGTGGATGTATTCCAAAGACACCATATAGTCAACTGTATTTGTGTGCTGGCAAAATGGACATTTGCATTTTATACACGAGTGTTTATGCAAATGTGCTTCAGTGTGAATGTAATAGTAGGGTACAAATTTTTGTGTTGAATGGTTGTGGGTGTGTGGGTAATAATTATATGTCAGGCTTGCACTGTATTGACATTTGCAAATCAGATCTGAAACATTGGATTTTGTGAATGTAAGGTAATGTAAAGTCATCTATATAGTTGGCAAATATAGGCACAGTAATTTCATCTCTTGATACGTTTCCAAAGCCTATATTTTCATTGGGGTAAAAAGAAAAGAGTATTCAGGCATAGTTTGTATAATAGACAAACTATCCAGAAAAAAGATTAAAAGAATTCGAGGATTTTGTCATGGTACTTTGGCAATTTCCAGATCTGACAAAAGGTCAGAAAAAAAGTGCAATACAGAGCATTGGTTGTTGTAACTTCAGACACAGATTTTGTGGCTAAATTACTGTATTGCCAATTGGCCCAAGTGCAAGGGGTGACATTCGAAACTTGTAATGCATTTGTATCACTTCATTATCCTGTGAATAACTCTCAGAAAGAAACTTTACTGTGATTTAAAATTCACTGATACAGGTGGTTGCTGGGTTTGCCTCTCCCCTCTACCATTAAGCCCCCTTTCCCTCATCCTTTCCTCTGTCTTACTCCTCTTCTTCATCTTCTATAACTGACACTTGGAGAATTCCTTACAACTCTGTTTATAGATTTTTAGATTTCCTTATGAAAAAAGTTATATTTCTAATGTTCAGTGATGATAGCTGTTGTTATCATAAGCTGGAATGTAAAGGGAAGGGACGGAAATTATTTTTTAATGTTCATCAATGTTTTTGTTTTCTTTTTTGTTGTTTTTGGGGGCCTGTGATAACTGTCAATCTCAAATTTTGCATAGTGATTGCATTAGGTGGAATTGTTCTCATCGGAATGCTGGTGAGGCATCTCTGAGTGATAGAAGTCAGTGGAACCATCTAGTTATTATTCATTCTGTAGATGAATAGATATATATTCAGATATTTGAGGAAAAAGATATTCACATATCTGGATGAGAAAGAGCTTTTTTCATGGGTGATTCTTAGTGACATTTTATAAACACTTGCTTGTTGTATTTTGTCTATTAATCATCAGTATGTATTGTACAATTTTAAGAATGATTCAGGACTTACCTCATGAGGCAGTCGATTTGTAGAACTTTTTTTTAAGTTTTGCAATTTACTAGAATTAGTTGAGGAGAAAATGTTGTTTGAAAGATTCTCTTTTGTTGTCTAATGTTAGGTGAAGCAGGTATACAGGAAGTCATTTTTTTTTCAAGTTTTCTTTTTTTTTTTTTTTTTTTTCTTTTTTTTCCAAATTATGAATTAAAAACACATCTATAGGATATAACCGCTGAGTGTTATTTATTTTAAAATTATTTCAGTTACTGTAATGGAGTATTCGTTTTCTTTTAAATGCCAGAGTAGTGCTATTGGTCAATAGAATAGTGCCCATTGTCAAGTGAACAAATGCATTTATCTTGTAAATCATGGTTTTCTGTGATGTTGACATACGACACTGATGATTTTTCCCTCACTTGTATAAACTAATCACATTAAAACAATCATTTTTTTTATGTTGGCAAAGGCACTGTTCCTTTACTGCCACAGTTGCTTGACAACACAGCTAGTTATGTTTGTTGTTTTTTATTGAAATATAGGAGCATCTACCAGTCTTAGTTTGTAGATTGCATATGTAACTTTTTTTTTTTCTCTCTTGACTACTTCATCTCTGTGATACACTCCCATGATGTAGATAGATAATCATTCTCTAAGATATAAGTGGTGTTTTATTTGTATTGGAATTCCTTTTTTGTAATTTTATAAACTCTTTTTGTAGATGACAATTTTTGTACCTGTAAAATGAGCAAGTTGTAACTAACTTTAGTATTGCACTTTACATGGTGTTGAAAGGGGAATGCAAAGGCACATGCAGGAAGTACTGGTTTTATTAGTGTTATGGTTTCATCATTATTGATTTTTTTCAGATTTAATGCTGTATTAAGCTTAGTTTTAGCACAATAGATGCTATTGCATGGGTCTACTCATTGTAAAACTTTTGTGTACTTTAGACCCCACTTTTAAGTGCAAGATAATGTTTCTTGATGACCATAGGATTATTTTTTCTTGGATGATTATGTTTATTTCTTTTATTTTTACAAGAGGTTTTTGGTATCAAGGACAAGTGTTTGAAAGGATCTCTTCTGTTTTGTTTTAGCAAAAAAGAAGAGTTGAGGCCTTATGATTTAAGAAATTTCCAGCCTATAATAGTCGTGATTAATTACGAACTTTGTTTGAGCAGTGTGAAAACATATCATAATTAAGTCTAGTATATACAGGACATGTACATAAACATGCATGTAGAAGTCCAATGGTTTTACTTTTTTCATGATTTTGTTGTTTCTACTGATATCTATTTTTAATATGTTTCATTATATACAAATAAAAGGTAATTTTATGTGTACTGAACAAAGAGAAACTATGAAAAGGATATTAAATGTTTACAAAATTTCATTTGCATCCTAATTTCATGTCCGTTGTATTATCATTTATTTAAGAACTTCTCCCTCTTTTTAGCTTCTTAAATAATTTAATTTGTACACCTCTCATCCAGAACACAACAGTGGGTATGATCCAGTTCTTATTTCCTTTTTAGAATGCCTGGTACTTTTAAAATACAAAAGTATATAATTGGTTAATCATAGTTTTGTTAAAGTGATGAATCTAAGGCATTTCTGTATAGAATGTGTGCTAAGCCACTCGATGGTGTCGGGTGGTTCCTTTCTGACCCTACTTGCCAATGCCAGTACTCACATCACAGGTGACTGGCAGGGGTAGATGGGAATGGAACCAAGCCTTTTGCAATTAGAAAGTCAACTCTCTACCACTGAGCTATGCCACCACCTTCATGGAAGAAGCAAATACACTGATTATTGATACTGAAATTATCCTGAAACAAGAAGTAAATTTTTGTCCGTGAAACGAGACTATTATTTCAGAAAGTAAATAACCCTCTTCTGAAAAGATAGATTTTTTTTTTTTCTTTCTTTCTTTCTTTTCTTTTTTTTTTTCTTGCTTTTCAGCATCTGTACTATCTTGCTGGGATATTCTTGAATGACAGGACTTGGAAAATCATGGTTTATTTAGCATGTCAGAGATAAGTCTGATTGTGCTATTATTTAGTACAAAAATGTATAAAACAAGACAAGAATTTTCTTTTCCTTTTCTAACTCTTGTAAATTTGCATCACAAGAAAATTATTTTGCTTTAAGATTTGATTACACAACCAAAGCAGGAAGCCTTATTTCAAAATATGGCTATGCCATAAACTCTTCTGACATCTTAATAGATATTTTGCTTGCTTACTTTCATCACAATTTTATTATTATTATTGTAAATTAAGTATTCTATGAATCCCAGTCACTGATTTAAAGTTTAAAGATAACTTGACCTCTTACTTTTTATATTTTGTCAGTGTATAAGGACATTTTAAAGGTTTTCAATAAGAAAAGTTCATATGAAAAATTGTCATTTTCATAATCTTTTGTGATTTGCTTAGTAGGCCAAGCAGATTTTTATTATGCTTTTGGATCATGACTGTGTATGATTTTTGTGTGTTCATGCACATTGTACAATGATTGACTTTCCATTAAGTTATGAAAATTATAAGGCAGAACATATGTCATGTCATAACAAAAAATGTAATGTTCAGTGGAAACTGACAGATGCGCACACATGGTAATGTAATGGTGCTAACTTTTGGTTCTCATTATCAATTTTCTGCAAGATCTTAAATATTGGGTGGGTGGGTGGCGGGTGGGTGTGTATTGCAGTGTGTGTGTTTAGAGAGTGTGTGTGTGTGTTAGTGGTCTATATTTGTGTTAGAGAGTGTGAGTGAGTGAGTGAGTGAGTGAGTGAGTGAGTGAGTGAGTGAGTGAGTGAGTGAGTGAGTGAGTGAGTGAGTGAGTGAGTGAGTGAGTGAGTGAGTGAGTGAGTGAGTGAGTGAGTGAGTGAGTGAGTGAGTGTGTGTGAGTGTGTGTGTGTGTGTGTGTGTGTGTGGTGTGTGTGTGTGTGTGTGTGGTGTGTGTGTGTGTGTGTGTGTGTGTGTGTGTGTGTGTGTGTGTGTGTTGTGTGTGTGGTGGTGTGTGTGTGTGTGTGTGTGTGTGTGTGTGTGTGTGTGTGTGTGTGTGCGCGCGCGTGCGTGCGCGTGCGCTTGCGCGAGTGAGTGTGAGAGTGTGCATGCGTGCCTGTCTGTCTGTCTGTCTGTCTGTCTGTCTGTGTCTATCTGATGGATGTGGGTGCAGATGTGTGGATTTGTGGGTTTTCATTACATATATATGGAGGTATGATTATATTTATATATGTATAATTGTGTGTACATGGTTGTGTAAAATTATGTATATCTATATTTACACACATTAGTATGTACACGAATGTGTCCACTTTGTAACAAAAATAATTCCATAGTTTGTAGTATTTCCTTAGGTCATCTCAAATCCCCTCTTCTCTGTCCTAGTCATTGCAGACAA